TTCATTATTTTTTACTTACATATCATAGCAACTTATTTTATCCTGTACCTGCTTATAAACATATATGTAGGTATACGCACATAGCGATTACCTTCATATTTAATGAGACACAGCTTTTAGATAAGTTTAAAATTACTAGGTATATTAAATTAACCATGCACAAAAAATTATCATTGGTTGATTAACACTCTACTTACAATCTTCTCGATTCCTTGATTAGCTAATTGGGTGGTGTGTTTTTGGGCCTTGAGAACTACTCGCTTACTAGTGACTTACTACGGTACATAATGGCTCTTTAGTGGAGTTTGTACATTTACCTTCATGAACATGGGAGTGTAAACACTAATGGACAATAGTTGGCGTATACACAAATGTACACTATGTTTGTGTACTTGGGGAAAGTACACCCATGTTTTCCTAATTCCATTGCAATAAGGACTAAGTCTATTCGCCGAATATAACACCGTTCCAGATACAGTCCTAGTAGGAGTTTTGAAACAGAAATTCCTATATTAATTGCTAACATTATACTAAGCACATGTCGTTGCTATGGTATATCCAGCAGGCGCTCGTACAATTTATAATTTACAACAATATGAACTAATAGTATTATATCTACCTATAAAGGAAGTTAGGACTCATACTACTCATACTACTGCTATACCAGATTAAGGATATTGCTTTGAGTATTCATTTTTAGAAAAAAAATTAAAACTTGGCATTGCATAATACTTTTGTGTACAATGTTATCTATTGGAAATAATTGGTTACTTAATCAAGAATTTCTCAATACTACCACGGTGTCTGAAAATGTACCGGGTATATGCTAATAGGCTCACCCCCTATTACATGATACTCATAATATAAATAGTGAAAAACGGTATGTGTACCTCTGCCTACCCCTTCGGCGATAAAAGGTGTGATGTTATGTGTATGTGTGTGTTTATCAAGAATTCGTTACACTTTGGTATAATTGACCCTTAGTTATTACGTAACTGTTTCTCATTGCAATACCTATTAAATATTAACTCGTCGAGTACCGGTTTTGCAGACACAATTATAGAACAATAGGTTGCGGTCACCGGTGACCGCTTGGTATTTGACAGTTTAAGGGCCGATTCTTCAATCATCAGTAAATTCCTAAACTGTAGAATAAAATTGACTGTTCTCAGTTTTTAGTTTGGAAGAATTGTCATATTCAAAGTTATACCTAAGTAAAATTTATGTGCCGTTGGAAAATCGGCTCTAAATAGATGTAATTTAGAATTTATTATATTTTTGTTGTTTATTAATTAACCAAACAGACCTTCTTAAACCATTATTCCTGTTATTACGTAATGGGTGAATATTTCGTATTCATTCTGGGTCATTAACCTCAAAGGGCCTATGTAACGTTTACTAATTTAAGTGCGTTACGACTGAGCGAACTAATTTTGAAATTCTCTCCCGCCACTTTATTATTTCAGGTACTGAAACTGAAAATGTTATGTTTGCAATGTGGTAATGTATTTCATTTGAAGAGGTTCTGTTTACACTGGGTTTTCAATTTAAGTGTCGTGTTATTGTAAAGTTATTTTGAAGGAATGTGCTGCCAACCTTTTTGAATTTTTTCTCAGAAGTCCGGTGCTATTCAGTGTTATACTTGCCTACTAGGAAAAGAAAGGGTTATGATTTTGATTTTGATTTTCTTCTTACGTTATACATGGATAATGCTATGTTTTTATTATAACTATCGTGAGACATATACTAAATTACCAAAACTCGTGGGTTACTCAGTATTTTCACGTGGGGATCCCACAATTTTTAGGTAATGATATAATACTTTCTGTATCATAAAAAAATGCATATAGCTATAAATATTTTATTTTGTGCGGGTCGTGTATTCCTGTGGACTAAAGGTTTAGATAAAAAATAATATTTTCACACATTCTTTGGGAAGTAGGTTTTCTATTTATGTATTATTCACACTGTGACCTAGAGGTATATCATTCTTAGTTTTCGTGCCACAGATCCACAGGAAGAAATTCCAGTAGGAATAGGTGGCGCCTTTGTACTTCAATCTTATACCTCTATATGTGTTGTGTGTGTATACATAAAATAATAACTAAATAAATAGGCACAGTAAAAGTTTGTGTTTGAAGTCACGAGCCAAAGCCAATATTCATGTAGAAAGTATATGAGCATGTAAATGGATTGGTACTACCAGCAACTAAGTATTCAAATTAAGCTAAAAGTATAGTTGGAACGTCTGATCAAACTTTACTTTTATGGTAATTGGTATAGCTCATTCCTTGACCTTGTGTATATCGATGGGTCGTAAATACCCAATGTTATACGTACAATGCCGATTGTTATGGAGACCGATCGAAGGACGTTGATTTATTTTTCTATGGCCACTGTACCAGTAATGGGGCTAAAAATAGAGGTATGAACACCACGAAGGCACGCCATGGGTGTGTGGTGTTTAGTTGAATTATTTATTGAAATTAGTTTTTGTAAGCCCCCATAATAGCTGTTGATATTGAACATGTTTTAACGTTTTCTTGATGAAATTGTGTTCAGTGTTACATAGTGTTATATGTCTAAACTAATCTACAGAAACGGACAGATCCACATCTAACACTAAGGTGATTCTTAGTACCATACTTAAATGTACATAAGACTCATGGTATGTCTAACTGATAGCACCGAACCTTAGACCCATTTGCTTGGCATGATGATGAACGAGTTGTCATCACTCGACCAACGAGCGTATCTCTGTCTTTCTCTCACTATCTCTATTCTTAGTTATTAATTAAGAAGCTGTCTCGCTGACGTCATAACGCCGACGTAGACCTTTTGTCCCGATGTCGAGATAAGGAATTCATTTCCGTGGAAATTGAAAGTTAGATACATTTTGCATTTAGTGGGAAATATCCGTGACAGCTTTAATGATGGAACTTAAATACAATTTTAATAACTATTTATTTTAAATTTTGAACATAAACGAAGAAAAAAGAATGAGGATATTAGTGCGATGACTGACACACTGCAGATGTCGATTATTGAATGAGCGAAGGTATTTACTGCGATGTGCACTAGTCTATTGAAAAAAAGTGAATAGATAGTTAAGAGAAAAAGGGGGGGAGTCAAGAAGAGTGATACCACGGCCCCACAGAAAACCGACGTGAAACCACGTTTACGTTGTGTTTCGTCGTGTGAGTGAGGTTACCGGAGGCCCAATTACCCAGTCTGCCCAGTCTCCCATAATCCCAGAATCCTCCACAATCCTAAAATTTACAATTTTCAAAAGGCCGGTAACGCACTTGTAACGCTTTGGTGTTTCAGGTGTCCATGGGCGACGCCGATTGGTTATCATCAGGTGATCTGTCTGCTCGTTTACCGTCTTATGCCATAAAAAAGAAAAGACAATAAAGTAGTTAAAGCCCTTTGCTCTCTACGTTGGCATATACGAGTAGGTAACCATTGTAATTGCAAACGATGTGCAGAAACATGATCATGGTGAACACGATTCGAATGCAGTTATTTAGAAGTCTGTCGAGATATGTGTTATATTATATTGTTAACACAACCGAAAAGCATCATTTACCTCGATTCTCCATCCCATATAAACACAAACATGTTTACTTTCTTAAAATAGAAAGACAACCTTCCAGTCGTCCAATAATAGAGGCAAATTCACAAGAGGGATGCGCATACCAACCAACCTAGCGTTTTCCAATATTGCATGTCACAAGTCAACGCGATATTCCCCTAAATGCAATGTCACTGACAAATGACTGTCTAAAAATACGACCAGAAGACACGACAGTAGGAATACTCTTTGTACCGATACCGCACATCAACCTACACTAAAACTATCAAAGAGATTTTCGACTCTATTGTTAACGAATAAAGATTGATTTGTGATAAAGAAAGTTAAAGGGTAGGTTGTTGTACTAGCGTGTTAGTGAAGTTGGAAGTTTGAACTCAATTTTATATTTAAATCAAAAGCTGGAACTATTCTGCATTGTTCTGTGGTTGCAAGTATCATAACAGAGTAGGATTCAGTTTTGATTCATAAATCAGTACGTATTGGTGGGATAGCTGTAGTTTTTTGCACATAGCATAATAGCATGGTGATGTTGTCGAGGAACAAAGGAACTGTTGGTTAGTGATTAGTATCGATATAACCAACCATTTAGTCAATATCTACTACGCGTCTAAGGTGATTGTTGCAATCACCTTCACCACGCGCGATATTTACCGTGATATTTGAATCGTGATATTTATCGAGTTAGTAGTAGTGTAAGTATAGCGTGTAATAATAATTGTATTATAATTAAATATTTCTTTATAATTATCACGAATAATATCGCGTACATATCGAGCGTGTAACATTCGCTCATGCTAGTTTTCATGCGAATCCAAGCATTAGAATTCACATCGCGTTTCCATCCCTGTTTTTTGAAGTGGAAATCATCTAATGACTCCTCTCACTATGAATTACGCTAGAGATAGTTGTCGGACTCTTATTGTCCATCTCTCTTACTGTTCTCAATACGCTGGTAATCTCAAGATGACGTCACGATAAAACCTTGTACTTACATAGCATTCTTATTCGAAGAGAGTAACCATATTATACTTATCCTAAGCATTTAGGTTCGTTCTTATACCTCGTAACTTTAGTATTATCCTCACAAATCATTTTTATATCTTTTAAATGTACACCTGCGGCCTTTTGGCCATTACAATGCGGACCGTTTTGGTAGATCTTGCTGAAAGTAAGTGAGTCCAAAGGGTTTAAGATTTTGTACAATAGGTCACAAGAAGTCTAGATTTTTGTGAAATTGATTAAAATTAAGCGGTCACAGGGTTATTTTATTACGAGTATTTGTGTATGGGAATAAAAGACAAATCATGTAGAGGCTCTGATTTTAATTTTACTTTTCCTCAGGTATTCAGTCGTATTTTCTCTCTTTGCAGATCATATCAAGTGAGATGCTATGGAACGCGGCAGCAGCAGTAAGGTGACGTCACCAAATAGAATGGAGCAACGCAAGTTTGACGGCCCAGCATGGAACGGTTAGGGTGAAGTGAGAGTGAGACAGAGAGACCCAAACCCCATGGAGGTGAACGGGACGGAAGCGCGGGCCGAGGAGGCGGCAGTGACGCTCGCGCTTAGCGTTGCCGTCACCGTCATCTCCGCCATTGGACTGCTGCTCAACGCCTATATATTGTTCATCATAGTTATTACTAAACAGGTAACTAACTTTATTACTTTTAAAGAATGCATAAATTATAAAATAAGCTATGAGACCACACAATTTATTTTATGGAGAATTTAATTTGCTTATGTTTCTGAAGTAGGAAGTTCTATTTTTTACCTCCAAACACGTTTTATATTTCAAATCATTTGACGATGAAACCTGCAGATAATTTTAACAAAACTTATTATCTATGTATCCTAGTGTAGATATCCGAACGTGAGTAGCCTTACCTAACGAACACAGAATGACTATACAAAGAATACCCCAATTATCATAAATACAAATCCAAGGTCAATCACAATCAAGTATCATTACGACAACAAACAAAATCTCATCACAGAATTTGATTACCCTCTACAAAAGGTATGAACACAAAACTAATGTTCGGTAGTACATTGTATCATTATTCCCCACATGAATTTTACATCACCATTGTTACCGAAGGCCGTGAAAGTATGTGGCAAGTAATTACAATCCAATTACATTTGGAAACAGAAGGATACCATGAATAGAAAGGACGCTAACGTAATAGGACGTCAATCTTTAAGTTATTTATAAGTAATTGTAAACTATACTCGGTTTTGTTGGTACCTTTAATAGTCAGGCGTGTTAGGCGTGAAGTTTAGAGGTTATAATGGTTGTAGCTGTCTGAATATTTGTGCTGAGGAATATACATTAAGTGTATTCTACTCTTAGTTAATAGTTTTTACACTCGTGCTTACGTCTTGCCTGTGCCTTTAGCCAAACGCCACTTTGCGCTTGTCTACCCAGACAGTTGAAAACTAAATGTATGGGAATGACACTGACAAGTGTCAAAATTTTCGTCAATTCCATATAATTTGGTTTGCTATTCTATAAGTAGACAAGTGCTAAGTGGCATTTGGCTACAGCTGCTGGTCTCTCTTAGACAAGGAAACTCCACGATGATATTCCACAAAGGGGAAAACAAAACAACTCTAGAGAAGATGTTTCCCTGACTCTTCGCTTTTAAACTGACTTCAAAAAAGCAGGAGCTCTTTTCTCCTCCCTTCATAGCTTCTCTAATAACAATAAATTATTGCAATTATCAATGATAAACAAACTTGAAACATTATCCTAAAGACACGAAGCTTAAAGCACTAGAACGTAAGCAACATTGATTGGCAATCAAACTTTATAGTGGCTACTATTAGTGAACCTTCGATCACAGTTGCAAGCAATCTGCTCCAGGCATTTGCTGTAATTTGCATACCTCTGACATGCATACATTAATGTCCATAAGTTACACATCATCAGTCGGGATTGTTGATGTTGCAGTCAGATTTGTCGACAAGAGTTACTATACCTATATAGTACTATAATATATAGACTGCCTCGAAGGCCGAGTGGTCGCAAGTGCGACTGCCGGGCTAGGGGTCTCGGGTTCGATTCCCGTTTCGGGTGAGGTATTACTGAGTTTTTTAAAAAAATCTCATATTAGCACGGAGTCTGGAAATGTGCTCACCCCCTATTACATGGGACTCATAACATAAATAGTGAAAAGTGGGTGTTACATTGTACAGTGTCATTAAGTACCGTGTGTCCATCTCTGCCTACCCCTTCGGGGATAAAAAGGCGTGATGTTATGTTATGTTAAATGCAAGCATATTGGACTCGCATTGCATTACCAAACTTTGCAGTGTATACTTACTAAAATAATTAAAAATAAAAACGATCCTTTATAAAATCTACTTCACTCAAAACTTAACAGATTGTACCAAGTTGTTTCTTTCTTTAAAATCTACTTAAACACAGAACTTTTATTCCAACTTATCTACAAAGAACAGTGCTACACTAAACAAGTAGAAAATGTGGAAACTTTAATAAAATTACCACTAATCAAGAGTGTTGCAAGTCAGATTAAATTAAGATCTTATTTATTATACGCAAGTCTAGACTTTGACGCAATAACTGGTAACTAGAGAACCCAGGAAAGCGGTTAACTTAACAGTTGATGTTAGCTTTGTTTATAGTCAACAAAGTTAGTTAATTTAATCTTAGTCACTAGTTTGAGATACTCCGTTCAACAGTCCTTAGTGTAAATTGATTATTAATGAAAGTTAAGATTAATTTGTTAGTCGATTAATTTATTAGTGTTCGAGAAAGATGATCCTATTTTTAGATATTTAAAGTGTTATAATGGATTTTGATTTATTATTACTATGTAGTACTGATTTTGGAGGATTTATGCATGGTGTAACATATCAGTAGACTCTCCCCTTTTCTCAAGAAACATATGTGTTTAATAAAAAAATAATTTCCTTCTGAAATTCCCAATATACTCCCCTTCCACATACAATGTTAGGCCATATTAGACTTCAAACAACTATTCATTGATAGAGATGGATCATACAAATATTTGTGCTATCGTATGCTCGGTACAGAATGCAAACTTACAGTGGCTGTGTAGACAACACCAATCGAGGGATCAACTTCAGAAATTGAATGATGACTTTATCAATATAAAGTTTTCACCTACCCATCAATATCAGTAGGTGAAACCACATTAAATTATTATTATTATATTATGTATACCTACACAGGTATACATAATATAATTTAAGCCCCACAAAACCGTTGCAATGGTTTGACTGCGAGGTCGACTCACTAGGCATTACAATTTAATGTACTTATAAATATTATATAGGCGTTGAAACTTATATAAAATTTAAGATATTTCTAGGTATGTATATATACTTAAAATATCTTAAAAGAACTTATGTCAGTCGGTGTTAGATTTCCCATTGAGGAAGAACAAAGATTGGCAAGGGGAAGGAATATTTCGTTTAATTTACAATAATTTTATAATAAATTTTTTGAGCATACAATCGTGTAATTTAAAACCCAACAGAGGATTTAAAGTTCAGTTTTTCTGTGAAAGTTCAGTTACACTTGACTTTCAAGAACTCAAAATATTAAACTTCAGAAATGAGGTCGTTTAAAAATAGCTGCGGTTTTTAGAAGTAAGTAGTTTAGTATTCAAGAATTGTAGTTAATGGCTACGGTTATTGTTTTTTAGGTAATTACCGGCAATTGACCGTTTAACTTTTCTTTAGCTTCTCAAGGTAGGAGGTTGACCTGAATATTTTTAATATTTTAAGTCGTGTTTTCATTTTAGTCCCGTATTGAGTAATATTGTGCCCGCTTGTGATAATTGCGTACTTGCCAACTAGTCAAATTCCATACTTTTTTAGAACTGCCAAAATCAGTTTTCTAGGAATTTTGTACGAGATTGAGTATTGTGACGTCACGTTTTTTTAGCGTCAAACAGCATACTTATTTCCTAAGTATTTGCTGGAAAAATAATAAAATGAAATTGGTTATAAAATCAATTAATGACAGTGTGATATTGTTTAATATTTTATTGTATTGAACAGTCGAAATTATTTATGTTTGATTAAGGAAACTACTCAATTCACTGATGGATTTTATTAACCTCCTCTATAAATTAGAGCTAGCAATAAAACCTAGATTTTCTTTGCTATATGTTAACCAAACTTGATAATAAAGTTTTATTTACACCGCTTAGGTAGGTTCGTTCCTAACTTGAAATAGAGAATAGACTGTTTAAATACAATCTAGCTGAATTTTGTCTCGCAGACAACAATTTGCGGTTGTTAGAATGAATTTATTTCTAAGCAATTATTGTGAAGTAGCAAAAGTACTTTACGCCACTTGACTCACTTCGATTCCGATAATTGACAAAATAAGAAATGTAGGATATGAATACTGAAAGGTTTTTTGAACTAAATTTTAGGCCGGTTTTGGTTCCTGAATTGATTAGGATTACTATAAAACAAACATTGTTACGTAGCTATATTAAGAATTCTTCGACTTATGAATGTACATTTAGTTATCATTTCGTCTTTAAACTGTGAAACACCGCGAGGACACCGGTGACCGCAACCTATTGTTCTTTAATTGTGTTTATAATGATGGTACTCAACGAGTTAATGTAAATAAGTAAAAAAACATTTTATTTCTAAAAATTAATCGTAACCAAACCACTTTGAATGTAATAATCTTCAGTAATAAGTCATAAACAACATAAATAAGGTAATAAGTTATAGATTTGTTTGTTTATATATTGCTTACAATAACATAAATGTGTTTTTTTTAACATGATACTCTATATACACATTCACTACACTTATTTAATTTTTTCGAGACGTACTGTTGTGCGTAGAAAAATAATTAAAACCCAAAAGTTTTTCTAAAATTACTTTGCAGTTCTAAGAAGTATGCAATATGATGAGCATTGAGATGACATTTTATAACGGTACTTTCTTGTACTTTATATTTCCATGAATGATCAAGTGTAAGAAATGTTAAACCTGATGAGGAAGTATCCCTCTGTGGTTCGAAACTAATGAAGCTTTTCTCAGAGTATTCACGTGAATAACCCGCGATTTTTAGTTAATTTAGTACCTATGTCTCACGATAGTTATTACCTATAAAAACAATGTTAAACCTTTTAAACAACATGTTGTTTTCTAAGGTGCATTAACCGATGGAATATTTTTGGTTCAAAAAACCGTTATCGAGTTTATAAACGGAAAATCACTTACTCTGTTATAATAAGAAATATTAAACTTTTTGAAGTATTGTATTGAAGTGAAGTATTGGCTGCACGGTTGGCGCAGTGCCTAGGCAACAGCCTGCCGCGCAACGTGTAGGGGTTCGATTATCGCACAGAGCAACTCTGTGTAATCCGCAAATTGTTGTTTTGGGTCTGGGTGGCATGTGAATGTCAGCATGTATGCCCGTAAACGCACCCACGACACAGGAGAAAATCCCATTGTGGGGCAAAGTTCTTCTAAAAAAGATTACGAGGGAAATTAATTCTACAATCTGCACACACTACTTCTACAGTCTCTGTACTCTGTTTTAATCCGCAGTAAATAATAATGTAGCTATTTAGAAATGGCTAACATTTTTATGGTACATCAGGGTATCCCAAACTTTTAATACATACA